GAATGTCAAAAACACTGAATATTAAGTAAAAAGGAATAGACACAGGATAAAAAAGGAAAGTGTGCTTAATGTGAATTTAAAGTATGATTAAAATGGGCAGTTGGGAATAAGCCTAATTACCATAAAGTGTTAAATGCAGAATCTGTTGGAAGCAGATTTAACAAGCTGATGAGTAGGCACAAACACGACCTGACCTTGCTCTTGCAATCCATCAGAAATAGATTAGCATGAGTTATGTGTGTGTATGTGTCACACCAGAAACAGTAACACCAAAAATCTGATGTTGGTTCTAAACTAATCTTAAAAACAACACACAGTTTTTGCTGTAAATCAAGTGAGCTCATGTTTTCACACGTCTCCTTTACTGACACTTAGGAGTCTCAAAGCAAAACTAATGATTTTTTTTTTTTTTTTCTGGCCACACTTGGGCGCAAACAACTTCATCAACAAACTGATAGACATAGAGCCCTTACTGATAATCATTATTAATAATGCATTCCCAAATAGCTGCTTGTTGTTTCAACAAGAGGACAAATAAGTTGTTTAATCTATGATGAGTTTACTTAGAGGTTATCAGCCAGACACAGCCACAATGATGTTCTATATAGAACTGTTCTCTCATGTCCATTATGCCTAAGATATGCATGTTAAATTCATGTTTAAGTTCAACAAATATGTTATTATATTGGCAAACAACAACAACAACAACAACAACAACAACAACAACAACAACAACAACAACAATAATAATAGTAGTAATGTACAGGTGCTGGTTATAAAATTAGAATATCATGAAAAAGTTTATTTATTTCAGTAATTCCATTCAAAGCATCAAACTTGTATATTATATTCATTCATTACACACAGACTGATATATTGCAAATGTTTATTTATTTTAATGTTGATGATAATAACTAACTAATGAAAACCCCAAATTCACTATTTCAGAAAATTGGATTACTTAAGACCAATTTAAAAAAATGATTTTTAGAAATGTTGGCCAACTAAAAAGTATGAGCATGAAAAGTATGAGCATGTACAGCACTCAGTACTTAATTGGGGCTTATTTGGCCTGGATTACTGCAGCAATGCAGCGTGGCATGGAGTCAATCAGTCTGTGGCACTGCTCAGGTGTTATGAGAGCCCAGGTTACTCTGATAGTGGCCTTCAGCTCTTCTGAATTGTTCGGTCTGGTGTATCGCATCTTCCTCTTTACAAAACCCCATGGGGTTAAGGTCAGGCGAGTTTGGCCAATTAAGAACAGGGATAACATGGTCCTTCAACCAGATACTGGTAGCGTTGGCACTGTGTGCAGGTGCCAAGTCCTGTTGGAAAACGGAATCTGCATTTCTATAAAGTTGGTCAGCAGCAGGAAGCATGAAGTGCTCTAAAACTTCCTGGTAGACGCTGCGTTGACCTTGGACCTCAGAAAACACAGTGGACCAACACCAGCAGATGACATGGTCCCCCAAACCATCATTCGCTGTGTAAACTTGACACTGGACCTCAAGCAAAGTGGATTCTGTGCCTCTCCTCTCTTCATCCAGACTCTGGAACATTGATTTCTAAAGGAAATGCAAAATTTACTTTCATCAGAGAACATAACTTTGGACCACTCAGCAGCAGTCCCAGGCGAGACACTTCTGACGCTGTCTCTTGTTCAAGAGTGGCTTGACACAAGCAATGCGACAGCTGAGTCCCATGTCTTGCATACGTCTGAGCGTGGTGGTTCTTGACGCACTGACTCCAGCTGCAGTCCACTCTTTGTGAATCTTCCCCAAATTTTGGAATGGGTTTTGTTTCACAATCCTCTCCAGTGTGCAGTTATCCCTATTGCTTGTACACTTTTTTCTACCATATCATTTCCTTCCTTTCGCCTCTCTATTAATGTCCTTGGGCACAGAGCTCTGTGAACAGCCACCCTCTTTAGTAAGGACCTTTTGTGTCTTGCCCTCCTTACGGAAGGTGTCAATGGTCATATTTTGGACAACGGTCAAGTCAGCAGTCTTTCCCATGATTGTGTAGCCTACAGAACTAAACTGAGAGACCATTTAAAGGTCTTTGCAAGTGTTTTGAGTTAATTAGCTGATTAGACTGTGGCACCAGTTGTCTTCAGTATTGAACCTCTTCACAATATTCTTATTTTCTGAGATGCTGAATTTGGGGTTTGCATTAGTTGTCGGTTATAAACAACATTAAAATAAATAAACAATTGAAATATATCAGTCTGTGTGTATTGTATGAATATAATATACAAGTTTCACTTTTTGAATAGAATTAATGAAATAAATCAGCTTTTTATGATATTCTAATTGTATGACCAGCACCTGTATATCAGCCATTGGCTTCTCTGACCTCTAAAATTTGACAGGAATCAGCCGTAGGGGAAAAAAAAACAAAAAAAAAACAGGTCGACTGCTGTTGTGGAAATTAATTAATAAGACTTTAACAAACGATGAGAAAACAGTCCTTGTATTCTTATTGCAATAAGAGAGAGGGGGAGAAACAACAGCTTTTCTACAGCTCAGATGTCAACGCTCTTATTGGAAAAAGAATAAAAAGGACTGTTTATTGTTTGTTTAGGTCTTATTAATTAATTTCCACGACAACTACTAACATTTTTATCTATTTTTTTCCACAAGCTTGATCAAATCAGTAGCTGAACATTGTCCACAATAAGTTTAGACTTTTACTCTCTAGAGCACAAGTACATTGCTTTCTCTTTACATCACTTCCTTATTTTCTTATTGCATGATATACATTGAAAAGGAAACCGTAATCTACACGGTGAAGCATTTTGCTCCAAGTAGAATACTATTTGGTTTGTGCACTTCATTAGAAGAACCAAACACATTGTGATATTGCTCAATTACTTTTCCTTTATGGTTATTAAAACACTACCATATCCCCTGTAGGTTCATTAATTATGCACTAATGCCTTGCTGAACATTACTGTTCAAGCTTGTGAAAAGTAATACTGTGTACAGTATACCTTGACTGTTTCTGCTCGAGTATATGATTACAGTTGACTGTTTTAATTGGGAATGTGTGTTTAAGTCTTAATTATATTTTAATGTCAGAGACGGGGTTCAGGATTTATGATTTTCTTTGCTGCGAGGTTAAAAACTTTAATACCTGGAGGAAATCAGTTCACGTTTGGCAAACGTTCTGAAAAGTGTATGTTTTAGCAGCTTCCTGGCTTTGCAGTTTTACTTTATCTTTTCAAATGAAAAGGATGTTAAAAAGTAATACAGCTTAATCATGTTTAATGTTGTGATGGTCAATAGAGCCTAGATCAACTAGGAAACAGGGTACACATAGTATTGACTGCCAGTCCTCCAAGAAACATTCACTACAAAAAACTATGGATGTTCTCCTCCATATCAAAGATTCACCTTTTATTTAGAGTAAAAAAAAAAAAAAACGTATATGGTTTCTGCTTGTATGCAGCAGCTGAAAATTGCAGAGAAAACACAGACACAAATAAAGCGTGCACGTTTCAAACAGAAAAGGTTACAGTCCAAACTAGAAGCATTTTAGCTCCTTCATGCTGCCCACTGGAAAAACACTGAAATACAAATAATGTCTGATCAGATATGAATAGAAAAAAAGAGTTAATATGTTGAACAACTTTTCACTTGTTACAGTTTGCAAATGCTAAAACGATAAATCTTCCATCATGGATTAATGCCTTTTTTTTCCTAATTATAAAATACATTAAAGAAGGTAAACTTCTTTCTCTTCATACCAGTAGTTACCAGTTTTAAGTTCACACAGCTAATTGCAGTACAAATGTCACACCCATTACACAATCCCATAACATTTAATATTTCATTGTTAATTTAGTTAAAAATGGAAAATATCAGCCAGTTAAATTGGTCCTCGACTTTTGTTGTCCCATACTTTTAAATGGATTGCAAAGTGGCAGAATGAAGATGGAAAACCGAGCCGAGGACAAAGAGTAGAAGTAAAGGATGTCCTAAAAGAGACAGCTCACAGACTGCCAATCCCAAAGAGTTTTATTTAATTAGCTTAGAAAGTTTTTGTTTCAAAGTCAGGAGTGTCACCGGGGAACCAAAGTCCAATTCAGACTCCTCCAAACACTCCAGTGTGCCAATTTACGGTCCTAACCTCGGGTCAGGGAGACAGGAGCAAAGAGATGGAGACACACACACAAACATGCGCACCAATAGGTTATAGACAAGGTATTCCTGTCCACACACACACACACACAAACACCTCTGCTTCCGCTCTGATTTCATAAAGGTCGGTCCCCATGAGTAGCTGTCTAGGAGATTCAAGTGTCTACTCTACTCCTCTCAAAACCTTAATCTTATCTTCCCGATAACACACACACATCCACACACACACACACACACACACACATGCATGCTCAAACAGTCCCGGTAGAACAGGTCAGCTCATTCCCTGAACAAATCTGTGGCTTTTCTTCTTACCCCCACATCTTATATCTCCTTTCTTTGACTTTGTATGTCTGTTTACATCCCTCTCTCTTCTCTTTTATCCCCTCTCTGCCTTTTATTGCCTTGTTTCTCTGCTCTTGTCACACTTTGTACTTGCACCATTTGGAGTTGACTTTTATACTTTATTACTAACCCCATTATTTCTCTTCAGCTATTCAAGTGCTTTTGAATAATATGTTAGACTTTCAAAGAATCAGCTTTCAAAGAAAGAGAAAATACTCCTCTTGAGATGGACCCCAAGTGGATTTTATCAGTGTGTTAAGTAGCTAATCAACAAAAAATAACAATGATAGTTGTAGTTTGTTCTAAGAGTGTGGATAATTTATTAAAGAAAAACCAGACAACGTGCATTTTCTGACATTTCTATACATCTATGCTCATTTAAAGGAAAAAGGGTTATGCTTTATTTTGCGAATACAAAAACATGTTAGATTATGCCACCTTTTTAAATTATTTTTTTTAAAGCAATTTTTTCCCTCATTTGTAGTTTTAACAATACATTTGGTGAATTGTAATCTATTGCTTGGTATTGTTCACTATGTTACCCCTGAGATGGGGTAGAGGCAGGGCAGCCGACTGGGGAACAGAAAGTCGCAGTTCGACTCCTCGCCATTCCTGCATGTCGTGGTGTCCCTGAGCAAGACACCCAATCCCCAATTGCTCCCCGGGCACTTGCATAGCTGCCACTGTTCCACCTGGGTGTATCTCAGGTATGATGGATTAAATGCAGAGAACCAATTTCGTCATTATACGGAAACATACAATGATGACAACACATAACGCTTTGCTTACTTACTATACTTTTCGGCATACAAGTTGCACCTTTTTTGCATAAATTTTGCAAGTTCTGCGACTTATACATCAAAGCAACTAATATATGTTCCCAACACCCCCACCCCCCATATTTATAACCTAATCTTTGACTGACATTTGACTGTTTTCATTCATTTTGACATGGAAAATATTAAAAATATTTGCAGCCACTAGAGGGCCCTCAAACATTAAGGCAAACCAAGAGTCTCATTAATAGGTAAAAGTGTCTATTATTGAGACACTTGGCTTGCCATAGTCCACCTTCGTCTTGCTCTGGAACTCCTGGAGCAAACAACAAATCAGCTGCATTTCGCAGCACCGCCCAGGCGAAATGCAGCTGATTTGACCATTAGTGCATTTATTAAAGAAAAGTCAACTGAGTGGCACCTTTACTATAATGTCGAGCGACCAAATAATTGTTTTTAGGTGGTTATCTTAGTAAATTTTGAAGAAATGCACAGTGAGTCCTCCCTCTGCGCGCTCCCGCAGCTGCAAATCGATTTTTCAAATGCAGCTGATTTGACTATTAAAGTGCATTTATTAAGGAAACGTTAAACTGAGAGACACCTGTGCTATAATAGCGCGCAAACAAACAATTGTTTTTAAGTGTTAATCTTGGTAAATTATTGTTAAAGTCCTCCAGTGCATGCTCCGATGGCCGCCATTTGGCAGCCAATCGATTTTTGGCACAACACCAGCCCACGTTTCCAGGTAGTCAGCAGTGACACATAACAAACGCGACGCGGCAGCGGTGATGCATAATAGATGCGACTTATATGACGAAGAGACATATTTATGGATTTTTCCACTTTATTAGACATGTTTGGACTGATGCCACTTACAGCGATGCGATGTGTACGGCGGAAAGTGCGGTGCTTACTTGAAGTTTTCTTTCTTTAAACGATCAGTGGTAACTTCCTAAAGCACAGCTGCAGAATCTAACGTGAATCAATAAAAGAGCCCTGCAGTAAATACAAGCTAGAAAAAGAAAGACAGGATTTAAACTTTTATTACCTCAACAATATACAGTGTATGTGTTGCCAGTTAAACACCAAGAACGTAGAAGTCTGAGTGAAAACAAACTGAGTTATTCTCATTAAGACAAAATATATAGGAAGCACACCTGAATTCAAAACATCCATCCATTTTCTTTACTCAATTTTTACTTTCCAGATCACAGGGTAACTGTTGCCTATCTCCAGTGGTCGTTGTGGTTCACTCTAAACAAGTTGCAAGTCCTTTACAGGGCCACATAGAGACAAGCAACCATTCACACTCTCATTCACACCTACGGACAATTTAGAGCTGCCAATTAGCCCAACATACACATTTTTGGTCTGTGGGAGGAAATCGAAGTACTCAAAGAAAGCCCGTGCACGCAAGGGAGAATATGTAAATTCCACACAGAAAAGCCAGGAGGCAAACCTGTGACCTTCTCTCTGTGAGGCTCTAACAAATGTGCTGTATTTCATGAAGCCAATTCCATGGGCGTTTCTTGTAAATGTAACCTACAATTAAATATGCCGAAGAGGATAAAAAGCCATGCTTAAGGGGAAAACAAACTGACTTGTTGAGTTTAACTCGCCTACAAAAATTGTGCTGTGTGAGTTAATTAATATGACATTTGCCAACATGTTAAATGTGCTTAGGCTCTCTCTCCCTCTCTCTCTCTCTCACACACACCCAAGGTTTTCCTAATCTTCATGCAGGTTGAAGACGGATGCTGCAGCATTATGCTAATGAGCATCTATTCTGTCCAATCACTCGCTTCAGTAGTTGGGAGACAGGCAGAAGACGGGAAATCGAGAGAGAATGATGAAAAAAAAGAGATGCTTGGAGGGAGGGAGGGAGGGAGCATAGATGGATGAAGGAAGATGCACTGTTTTGCAAGAATATTGTACCCTTTTAAACACTATTATAGAGTTAGCAAAGTAATATTCTTGGAATACAACAATGTTCAGTCAGGCCATCTGGATGGTTTATTTTGTTGCCGAGATGTTTCGTCCTTCATACAAGGAGCTTATTCAGTCTGAGGAGCCCACCAAACCAAACTGAATCCCAGAAACAGATCACTCCCAGAGTGGAGAAAAAAACAAAACTGTTTGCTGGTTATAAGATGGCCTCCGGGGCCTGCCCTCTGCTCCATCAACTCCCCAAGGCAGACCATGCCAAAGTAGTTCAGAACACCAAAGTTCATGCTCAATAATCCAGGTATAAATTCAGCAATGTCCATTCAGGTTATCTGGATGGTTTCTTTTGTTGCCGAGATGTAAAGGCCATCTTATTATCACCAGCAAACTGTTTTTTCTCCACTCTGGGAGTGAGCCGTTTCTGGGATTCAGTTTGGTTTGGTGGGCTCCTCAGACTGAAGAAGTCCTTTGGATGAAGGATGGAACGTCTCAGAAACCATCCAGATGATCTGACTGAACATTGTTGGATTTATACCTGGATTAATGAGCATGAACTTTGGTACTTTAAGAATACCTTGCTTGAGATGGTTTAAATTTAAATTATAAATGGACTGTCCTTATATAGTACCTTTCTATCTTATCAAGATACACAAAACACTTTACGCTACAATCTGTGCCCTCATTTACCCAATCATACAGCACTCTACTTATATCTAAACAAAGAATAATCAGAGCTTTATCACATTCATACACTGATGGGACACGCATCAGAGGCAATGAGGGGTTCAGTGTCTTGCCCAGGGACACTTCGGCATGTGACTGCTGGTGGAATTGAACTCCCAACTCTTGCATTGGAAGATGACTGCTCTAACTACTCAGCCACAGCCGCCCAATTATAATAAGGTGATTTATGAATCTAGAAAAAACCAAGCTCCTAATTTAACTAAACATCTTGCCTTGAATATACAGATGCATTTAAAGATAGCATGATATGTGAAACTGCCTCTGCATACAACCATCCAGATGACCTGACTGAACATTGTTGGGTTTTATACCTGGATTATTGAGCATGAACTTTGGTGACTCTGCATAAATACCCTGTGTAATGTGTGCCGAAGCATCTCAGCTGAACAATCAACTGGTAGCGCTGATATCAGATGATACTATAAAATGTTCACTTGTGCATTTATGTGTGCCAGCTGTACCTTTTTCTCTGCTTCTCGTTTAGCATACTGCAGCAGCAACGGCTCTCCGTGTTTCTGGTAGTACGCTCTTTGGCAGCGGTCTGACAAAGCTGGCTCATTGGGCAGGAAGTTGCTGGCCCACACCTACAATGATGCAAAAAGCAGGAAAAATATAGAATAATAATGAATGATCCCACCAAATACATTTTGTTTTAGTTACTTAAATGCCTTAAAACCAATATTGGCTTTAGCAGATAGCATACTGGTTTCTTGTGTAAAAAAAAAAAGTTCATCCAAAAACAAAAGAATTTGACATGGCTCGTGTTATAAGCTTCCCTATCGCACAAGGTCTACTGTCTGCAAGACTGTGTGTAAATTGCAGCCTCACATCTAGAAAAGCAGAGAACACAAAAGCATGACATAAATAATACATAGTGACAATCACCATGTTTTATGCTTGGTAAATCAAATATGGCAGACAAGGAACCTGCAAATTTCAATAATGTGTGTGTTTCTGCAGAATGCTTAGCTTGTTCCTGAAATAATGAATTAGTGAAAATCAATACAAAAGGCAGAAACTAGTATGAAGAAGCATCATCATTAACATGAGTTGCAATACATGCATTCAATGCAAACAACTTGTTTCAGTGCAACCATTCTGGGGCTTAATACCTTAAAGCTAGCTGTCCACTATCATTTGGGGACATCAGCACTCATATTTGCAGACCCACCAGGGCATATCTAAAAAAGTTCAGGGCTAAAGAACATGTGTGAAAGCAGCATATGACTTTGTTCATAAATGCTTAACAGATGGCAAAATCACTGTGGTTCAAAACGCCTCCTGTGGAAGGGATTTTAGATTCTTGCTGTCTGCAAATCTTGTCTCACCAGTCTGATGTCTACAATTTTTAAGATTAAATTTTACAAGTGTATCCAATGAAAAAATATGTTTTTTTACCCTTACAACTAACATGTTATACGTTTTAGATTCTAGACATTTTTAAGAATAAATATAACAATTTTACTTCAAACATGCAGTTCTCAACAACTGTGTTTCATCTTAATGTTAGCCATGGAGTTCATCAGGGTTCAGTGCTTGGACAAATAATCTTTACCTTATTTATGCTTCTATTAGGTAAAGTTATTAAACAGCATGGGATAAATTGTCATTGTTATGCTGACTGACATGTTGACATATGCTGACATCAGAGACTACTTCCTCAGGCGGCTGAGACGAGCTGGTCTGGGAAGTTCAGTCCTCACCTCCTACAGGTGTGCAGTAGAGAGCACGCTGTGCTCCAGCATCAACGTGTGGCATGGAGGCTGCACAGCTGCAGAAAGAAAAGCTTTGCAGAGAGTGGTGAAGGCTGCACAGAAGTCTGTCGGAATCAGCCTCCCCACCATCACAGACATTTACACCTCTACATACAGGGAGAGAGCCACCTGCATCATGAAGGACCCCACTCACCCAGCACATACACTTTTTGTCCTGCTCCCCTCAGGGAGGAGATTAAGGAGCATTAAGTGTAGAACCACTAGACTGAGGAACAGCTTCTACCCTGAGGCTGTTAGACTCATGAATCTCTAACCAGAATAATCACTGTGAAAATTCACATAATGTTGCTGCTGATCTGTTTCAATGTTGAGGTGTTCATGTGTGCACATCTGCTCACACAGACGCATGCTCATGTTCGTGCTGCTGTTCGACGTAATGTTTTTATGCTATTAGTGCTTAGTGTATTTTTAGTTGATGCTTTTCTTAGTTCATATCTTAGATCATATGTTTTTCTTATACATTTTATTGTTGGATTTAACTGGGACCCTGTGTACAAAATTTCGCTCCACCACATGTACCACATGAGGTGCAAATGACAATAAAGAAACTCTGACTGACTCTGACGATACACAGATATATTTATCCAGTTACTTAGACTATAAGCAAGTTTTAAAGACATAAAATACTGGATGACCCTTAATTTTCTGCTTTTGAACACAGACAAGACTGAAGGTTTGGTTTTTGGACCCGAGCATCTTAGGAATTAATTTTTCAGTCTTTTGCGCTCCCTGGATGGCATTAATCTGGCCTCCAGCTCTAATGTTAAAAATCTTGGTGTTATTTTTGATCAGGACATGTTTTTTTTATCCCCCACATTAAAAACATTACTAGAGCCGCCTTCTTAAATTTAAACTCAAAGCAAAGCAGTGTACTCCTCAGATAATTAATGTGGTTAACTTACTTTTACGGTATGAATGTTTTTGTTCAGTGCCCTGCGATGACTTCTGTTGTGACCTTTTCAGGCTGCTGTTTAATACACCATATTATATTACCGTACATTGTTATTGTTTAGCGACAAGTGTATAGCTTAGATCCTTGTGTACAGTTTATTTTTATACTTTATATTGTTGCTATTTTTGCGCGGAACTGGAACCTCGAGTACACAATTTATTTCCTCCTCATGTATCACGTGATGCGAATGACGATGAAGAACCTTGAACCTTGACTTGGCGCTATATAAATAAACTGAATTGAATTGAATGTGCACCTGGACTACTTGCCGTTTGTCTGTATCCCTTTTTCTGTCCTCCCCAGCATCAATAAGTCGAGGCAGATGTCCACCCATACTTAGCCTGGCTCTGCTGGAGGTTTCTCCCTGTTAAATGGTAGTTGCCCTTTCCACTGTCACTGACACGCTGCTCAGAATGGAAGATTGTGCTGAAGGGAAGAGTCAACAGAATTTTCTGGCTTCCTTAGACGACCTTTCTAGCAATTTGCATTTCATAATGCAGCATATGTGATTGCATTGTACTATAATTGGACTGGATTGGCTGTAACTGCATTTGAATCTGACTTGAATGGACTTATTAGCTTTGCTGGATAGTTCCTTGAGACGACCGAATTTCTTGACGTGGTCTTCTCACTTCTTGTTACACTATAGACCTCAACTCTGCATCTTTTACTCCTCTCATCCAGCCTTTTAATGGGATAACATTGTGTTTAAATCTACATTTACTATAAGAAATTACAATAAAATATCACATTTACTAACAAATTGTAATGTAATGTGTGTAAAAAAAAAAAAAAGCACTGTCTGCAATAAAAAAAACTGAATTATGGCAAGTTTATGATGCAACTGTCAGTTCAGTACACCATGAATCCTTGAGGACAAAAAAAAAAAAAAACATTATGTTGTCTAAATTATGTTCCTAACTGTGATAATGGCTCTACAACAAATGACAAGCTTAAATCAACTTTACTGATTGCTATCCGAAACAAACGCAATGTTCAAGCATTGCTCTCATCAGCCGCCAACTGCTACTCCTCATCAGACTGCGTTCACCTTAAATGAGATGCTGGCACATTTGTGTGTGAACGCTTATGAAGCATTCTCACTACTGTGATCCATTCTTCTTCCGTACGTTTTTCGACATCTTTTGCGTCCCGCAGTTTTCTAGCCATCTCAACAAATCATATATCAAAATGTTCAGCTCTTTCAGGACGACCCTGCTATGACTTTTGGTATTGGTGCAACTTTATCTTTTCGAAATATTTAGCCTTTTCTGCCATTTTTTTTTTTTCTAATAGAAAATGAATTGAGCTCATTTTACATCTTTCACATCTTTAGATCTGTTTAAAACCATTTGCTGCTCCTTTCACATTTTGTTTTGGTTCAGCTTCCTTGTGCAAATTTAAACATTTTTTCAGCTACTTTCAGCTAATTTCAGCTGTTTTTTTCAACTGTTTTGTGCTCCCTTCAGATTCTTTCTGCTAACTACAACATTTTTTCTGCTTCTTCTAACTTCTTTCTGCTAATTTGAGCTTGTTATGGTCTGTTCAGCTTATTTTTTCAAGTTTCAGCTTATTCTGCAATTGCAGCTACTACTTAGTGGATTTTATGGTCATGTTTAGCTTTTTCAGCTAATTCTGCATGTTTGCACTGAATTCTACTTTTTTTTCAGCGTAATTGAGCAACATCTTGCTCTCTCCACTTCCTTCTGGTAGTTTAAACATCTTTCTGCCTTTTCAGCTGTTTTTTTTTTTGCTAATTTCATCTTTTATTCAGTTAATTTCCACATTTTTTGTTATCATTTCTGCTTCTTTCAGCCTAATTGGGTAAACGTTCTTTCTGCCTTGTGCTAATTTAAACTTGTTCTACCTTTTCAGCTAGTTTTTTAGCAGCTAGTTTCAGCTGTTTTCTGACAAATTCAAGTTTTTCGTGTTTTTTTTTTTTTTTTTTTCCACTTTCAGCCTAATTAACTTCTTTATGGTAACTTAAGCTTAATATGCTCCTTTCAGCTCTTTTCAGCTAATTCCACCTTTTTTGAGCAGATTCAGCTCTTTCCACTCTCTTCTGGTAGATTAAGCTTCTTTCTGCCTTTTCAGCTAAGTTTTGCTAATTTCAGCCTTTTTTTCTTGCCAATTTCCTAAATTTTGTGCTATTTTCTGCTAATTTAAGCCTAATTCAGCAAATATGTGTTCCCTCTGCTTTATTCTGCTAATTTAAGCTTGTTCTTCCATTTCAACTACAATTCAGCATGTTTGTTTGTTTGTTTTTAGCTAATTTCAGCTATTTTTCAGCAAGTTCTTCTGCAATAAGCATTTACAATGCATTTTTGCAGGAAATGCAATTTCTCTAGTTATTTATTTATTTTCAAGTGAGAAACGGAGAACCCCTGGAGAACGTTAAGCCCGATGCTTTAAAAAATACGAGCTACAGCTATTGTGTTAAAAAAAAAAAGCATCTGTTACTCGCCCTCACAAACAGCACCAGTTTGACTTAAAGTCTAGTTACAGAGCATTCTTCAAACCTCATATTGTATTTCTACTGCTTTTCAGAAACCGTTTTATGGGCAACAACGAACATAACGACAGACATTTGTATTACCCGGGTTTGTGCTTTATGGCATTTTAATGGCTATTAAAGTAGACAGGCAGCACCAAATCAGCTCCAAGGTTTAACTACAGACTCATGGCTATAAGATAAATCAGAGCATGAGAGAACAGTTTTTGAATAGAATGTACTTGGATTTGTTAAAATTAGATTGCACGCTTATGTATTCATGCATATGCAAAGAGGCAAGAAGCAGAAAAGGAGCATGCAAAGTGGTATAGAGTCACATTCTCATGAGTGAAGACTTCCTCAGAA